TGGTATTTTATATTGATCTTGATCTTTAGCCAAGTGTGACTGCTTAGTTATGCAAGTCTCAGGTGTAGAGTGTGTTTAGAATTAGCTGTTTGAGCCGTTTTTAAAATGTGGATCATTGCATCTGATTTACGCTTTATATTTTCTGCTTTGTGCGTATGATGTATCGTCAAAGTTTGGTGGTTATTTCGTCACTTTAGTCTTTCGCTCCATCTGTGGTTTAATTAAACAGACTCAAATGTTTCTAATCATTTTTCGTTCAGAACGTCTACCATAGCATACTTTGCTTTCCTTTGTTTTTTTTTTTTTTTCAGTTTTGCTGACTAAGAAGTTCAGATTCTTCCGTTTTTTTTCATTTTATATTTAACATAATTTTTTTTCGTACAGGGAGTCTTATTAACTAATTATTGAAAATAATGGGATTTACGATCGTAAACTAGTTTCAGAAAAGTTTTGCTGGCACGCAATTTAAATATTTCTGTGACATTGAGCGTAATAGCAAATTTGAGTTGTTTTTTAGAGGGTCTGTGACCTTTTTGAATTTGACCGTCTAGAATCTTTTATCCTCTTGTAATTCAACTAATTAATAGCGGATTTTCCATTCCTCTTCTGGGGTTTAAAAATTATGGCGAAGTAATTTGTGTTTGAAATGGATGCCTTGGAGTTTTTAAGGATACAAGTGCGTTAAAGGTGTTTGTTGTTTCACTGATTTATCCGTTCACTTTATTGGTAAGCCTAAAATCTTTGTTGTTTCGAGATCATAGAGTAAGAGTGAAACAGAGGACAGATTTTGTAGAAACTGACTATCGTTTGTGTGTAATACTTCTCTCTCATTTGCCGTTTAAAGCCTTGTTGGGATCTTCCTCGTGTGTTTTCGCATAGGACGTTAATTTTCAAAAGTTTGCAGTTTTGTTATCCTTTGAAAAAAACTTTTAGCTTTTTATCATCAGCTTTGAGTTTTCTTGTTTATTTTCTAAGTTCTAAGTCTTTTAATTTTTGAAGAGGGACTTTTTACTTTTAATTGGACTTCATCTTGTATTTTGTTTACTGTTTGCTATATTTGGGAGTTAGTCTTTTGTTAAATTGCTCATAGTAATTGTTGCTAATTTTGAGTCTTTTGTGGTCACTGAGTTTGGTGGTATCGTTTTACATACATTACTATTTTTTCGTTGGTTTCAGTAATTTGAATTAACTGATGTCTGTTTATAAGTATTACTACGTGTCGGTGTTATGTCATTTGAAAGTTTCTTGAAGTTAATTGCTTAAAGATTCAAAAGTTTTTCTTTATATTTTTTACTTAATCCAACTGTTTCTTGTATGTAATGATTCTTTCATTAGCGGATTTGAAATTAAAAGATGTTTATCCAAACTGTATAGACTATTTATATCAGGCGTTTTCTTCCGGTGAATAACTACTTTGCTGAAAAACTTCCTATAGAAGAAGCAGCTTTTTTGAGTCAGCATTTAGCCTTTGTGACCACGGAGTACAGCAGTTATACAGTGATAACGAGGGCGGTGAAGGGAACAGTCACTTAATGTCTCTTGTTCATGACGGGGTCGTTTACGCCAACAAAGTTATACTTGCGCCCATGGTTCATGCTGGTAGAACACCTTTAAGGTCCTGAATTGTATTTTACTCGTCGTTTAGGTATACTATGTTAAGTGGTTGCATAAAGCATTGCGTTTGGTGGTTTTTTTTTTTTTTATTATCTCTTGCTAGGTGCACTGGAACTTCGCTAACGAACATGTTAGCGTGTATAATTATTTTTTAGTTAGTTTTAGAACGGGGATTCAGTGGGTACAATTCGTAATAGTGGAGATCCTCAGTTGAATTTTATCGAAAATTTTCACACTTAAGAAGTGACAAGCGATAGTGGGTTACTGCAAATGACCAATTTTTTATTGCTTTCTCAAATGTTTAGTTATTAAGGCTGTTAGCTCTTGAATATGGTGCGGATTTGGCATATACGGAGGAAATCGTTGACCAAAAGCTGCTTAGTTCGACTAAAGTATATAACGGTTAGGTTTTCCTCCTTTTCTCAAACACGATGACGGTCTAAAAAAGAAAAAAATGATTTTCAGAAAAGTTAGGAACGACAGATTATGTTGTGGAGAACGATGTTGTACTTCGGATATGTGATGCAAAAGAGAAAAAAAAATGCGTTCTTCAAGTGGTTTGTTGAAAAAATAATATAAATTTTTTGTGTCCTTCTGTTTGTTTTAAGTTTTTTAATTGCCTTCTGTCTGCTTTTTCCATTTATGGCTCTTTTGAAAATTCAGCTTTTCAGCAGTTCTTTTTCAGGGAACCAATGACGCTGAAAAAGCAGTTAAAGTGGCAAGGTTGATGTGAGTGGATGAACTACATCTTATTAGGACTTGTCTTTACACGTTAATTACAGCAGTCAGTACTCTTGTTCTTCAAAACGGCTCGTTCTTTATATTGCTTCCTTGTAGCTCTAAGGATGTTGCTGCAATTGACATCAATATGGGATGTCCAAGACCGTTTTCCGTATCTAGTGGTATGGGAGCCGCTTTACTTTCGCAACCAGAAAAAGTGACTAAGGTATGGCCTTTCTCTGGTCTTAGTTTTAGAAGTCTAATTCTCCTGATTTAACGATAAGCCATTTCACCACTTCAAAATTCTTGGTAAAATTTTTGCGATCTTGAAAATCTTACAACTATGGACAGTTCTAAAACTTTTTAACATTATTGTTGATTTGTTGGAGCAAAAACAGTACGTTTTTAAGGGCTTTATTTTTAGTCTTTGCACCTTATACGTTAAGTTTTTAACTGCAGATCTTGTCACACCTTGTTCCCGCATCTGATGTACCTGTGTCCTGCAAAATACGTGTGTTGGACAAGGTGAAACATGCTCTGAGAATATTTCGCGATCTAAGGCCGTTTTTTCTCTCTTACACTTTCAAAATATGGCATTTAGAAAAGTTTGCATAGTTTTTTTATTAATTTTTCTAAACGCTTTAGTTGGAAGACACTATAGCCTTAGCGCAACTAATTGAGAAATGCGGCGTTAGCGCGATTGGAGTTCATGGACGCAGGATAAATGAGAGGCGAGGTGACCGTAATCGTACTGAGGAGATTCGGGAAGTTGCTCGTTCAGTACGGATTCCTGTCATAGCAAAGTACGTCTTCCAAAACTTTATAATTCACCTGGGTTTATCAACTTTGTTCATTAAGATCTTTTCCGTGTTACTTGGTATTGTGTCTCTTATTCTTTGAGTGAAGTATTTTACCTGCTCGTTAAATAATACAGAAAGGACAGGTTTTTGAGTTTTTTGAGGAGTGTTCTCGTTTGTTGAAAAGCTGTTTTCGGTCACGAAAGAGCAGTTTACCGTTTGGTAAGACTAACTTCTGTTAGTTTATTTATGCAACTCTTCCTTGTATTGTTACTTCCTTTTACTTAGCTTCAGACTAATAGTTCTATCTTAGTCGTTTCCATGAAGAGCTGTAACTTACTTCAGTCATTATCCTTCAGTGTTTCATCTGCTTAAAGCACCTATTAATTTTGAGTTAGTTCGAAGGCTGTCTATCTATTTGATTAGTTCACTGAAGCTTACATGTTTCCCTACTCTGCATACTTTTCTTTAAAGTGGTGCATCGGGAAGTATTAAGGACTACAGCGATATTGAGAAGTTTCGGTTGGAAAGTGGAGCGAGCAGTGTTATGATTGCAAGGAAAGCGCTTACTAATCCTAGTATATTTCGAAAATCTGGTATCCTTGCTTCGGTGGAAGAGGAAGTAAAAAGTTTTTTAAAGCTTGTATGTTTTTCATTTATTCGTACTGTTTATTTCTGGCAAAAGGTTAGCCTTTCTCAAGTTAAATTATCAGTACAGAACCAGGTTCATTTATTAAATTATAGAAGATAACTATTTATAATGAAATAAATGAATGACTTGATAATTTGTGAAATTGTTTTTGCCAAACAGGTCATTTTGCCGTAGTTGAAAATTTAAATTTCTGGCTAAAAGTTCAAGGAATATTTGTGCTTTCTTATTTCTTCATCAACTTCAAAATGTGGTTTTAATCGTATGTTAAAACTAGAAAAAGTTTGTCTTTGTTATACTCGCTTTTTAGTCGGCTTTTTAAGGCTTGTGAATATGACGAGAACTTCACTATGACGAAATATGTGGTTCAGAGGATGCTTGGATCGGCACAGGTGGTTTTCTAATGGAATTCCTATGTTTTTGATTACTTCAAATTGGTGGTACTGCTTTTTGGTATACATTTTATGATAAAATTTATTTTTCGTTGAAGGTGGAAGTATTTTTTATTAAAAACAGGAGTTAGTAATCAGCAGGTCAGAATCTTCTATTTTGTTTATTAGCTGCTCTTCTGTTAGCTGTTGGTTGTAGTGAAATCTGTGTTTACTAAATTGAATGAGGTTTAATATTTCGGGAATTTGACCGTCGTGGACAGGAAACCGTTAGTGCATCAAACGTATATGAAATATGCAAAGCTTGGTCAATGGAGGGCACCTATAATTATTACAAGGAGCTCAGATGCAAAAAAAAGGAAAAAGAGGTGGATGAGACAACAGGGTTATGTTGTATCGACATCACATTTGCTCCGTATGTCGTCTGATGCTACAAAGGCATACTTCGTCAGTTGGCTGAAACTTCTGCTAATTTCTACTAAGCAACTTTTCAGAAGAAAATTAAAAAGCTACTGCGGAAGCGGTACTCCCAAATGCGTTTTAAATACACTGTGTGATGAGCGCCATTTGAACCGCCCTATTTACTATTGCGTAAGGGTTTTTCAATTTCTAAAGATAGCCACATTACTTCAGTCTCCATGGATTATTTTACAGCTTAGTTGTTGGCTAAGTCTCTTCAATAAAAATGGTGTAATATTCAGTTGTGGAGATCCAACTTTCATTAGTACTTAAGTATTTCCAAAAGTTACTAGGACATATTTGGTAGTTTCTTTTGCCTTCTTTAGTTTTGTGTGTGTATAGTTCTTATGTCGAGAGAAACAAAAAAATTATTATGAATTAGTAATACTTCTGAAAAATTAGTTTACAAGGGTTACCTAGGTTAATTGATTCAAATGTAATGCGCTGAGAGTCATTTTACATAGGCATTCACTGCATCTAGCTTGCCTCTTAACCTTTTCTCCCATGTGTCCTTAATACATTTCATTAATATATTTCCATATCTTATTTATTTCTGGAAATTAAGACTAATCTATTTTGTTTAAGAAGTGTCGACCAACTGATAAACGCTATGAGGCTGTTGTAGAAGTTGCTGGTCAGAAGTTCCTCTCTCGGGTCGGGCAACCGAACAAAAAAATGGCTGAACAAGTAAAAATTTTTTTCATTTAGCATTTGTCATGGTATCTTTCAAATTTTTTAAATTGTTTTATTGTTATAAAATGCCATTTTTT